CCCGCCGACATGTCGCCTCCCAATGGCGCGGCCGGGCCCGCGGGCCATGAGCGCGGCGGCCCGCCGGCCCCTCAGCCTGCGCCTCGGCACCTGCCGGCTCACATCTTCCCGACTCGGGCCAACACGGCCCATCGCCGACCCAACGCCGTGCACCCCTCCCGGGTGCCTGACGGGGAAGCAGGCCCGGCAGCGACCCCCAGAGCCCTCGGCCAGCCCCCTCCTGCCGCAGGGTCTCCAAGCCCCCTCCCTAGCCAAACCGCGGGCATGACCATCAGAGCCACGGAGCTTCAGCCTGTTTTGCAAGCAATTTTTTTTGTTTTTAATGATTATTATTTATAGTCCTCTGGGAATCTTTTGATTAGAAGGGCAAGCGCCCTCCAACTTTGCCATGACTGTTTTGTACGTTTACAAAGATTAATGATCAATCCTTTAAAAAACAAACAAACCCAAATCTACCGAAGAGAACAGAAGATGCTGTTTGCTGCGGAGGTTTGCAGTCTGCTAGACTATGCCTTGCGAAGTGGAAGCTGAAATACAGTTTTACAGAGAGACCCTGCGCTGGAGGCACGCAGTAACACTTAGCATCTCGAGGCTCTCCACACATTTCTAAGCATAAGTTTTTGTAGCAAGATCTGTAATTAAAGGAGCTGTCAAAATATTTCCAGTCTGAAGAGGCATAGTCTTAAGTTGCTCAGAGTTTTCCCTTTTCAGCAGGAGTTTGGTGGGCTTGCTGTCTGGTAGGGAGCCTGCGGGCTTTTCTGAGGGACTTTGGCAAAAGTCACTGGGACCTGAGGCAAGCTGCTTGATCTCGTAATGCATCTGTAAAATGGGGATGCTAATTCTCTCCAACCTCACCAGCCTTGTGAGGATACATTTATTAGTGTTTTGAGGCTTGGGGAGAGGCTGATGATTGGCATCACAGAGAAGTTTGTAACCCATGGAAAAGCACTTCTGTCCAATTGGTGGATGGCAGCAAATAAGACCACAAACCAGCCACGTCCACAAGTTCAATCAGGACAAGTTCACCCTGTCCTTATGTGCGGGGCAACCTGTAATGCTGCACCTTTAGTCTCAGGAGCTGCAGTGGGCTGTTGCCACAGCCAGGCTTGTGCTGACGTTACCTTGCCCAACCGGGGCCGAGACCTGTCCATTCCACGGTCTGAATAAGTCAGAGCTCTGTGGGGAACTGGTACCTGCTCACGCTGTAAATAAAGACTGCTGCTAGCCTTTTTTTCTGTATTAAACCACCGTCCCCTTGTCATGTCCTGCCTTGAGTGGCTGCATTTTGCAAACTGAACGTTTTCCATGTGTAGTGTGTCCCTATGCATGTGGAGTGAATTCATTACATCTGGCATGCTCGGGAGTCAGACACTGACACTTCCATTCAACGGGTCATAAAATGGAAGCAGGGAGGAGGTTAAGGGCCAAATTAATGATTGAAAATGCAAGGGTAGTTTTTCTGAAAGCTTCTTGGGAGTTGGGCTGGACACAAAGGGCCAGGAGTTTAAATGTATGTAGCCATTGTACTGCTCAGCAGTGCAAGGCCAAGGCCAGGCGCTCACAGATACCTTTGAGGTTCTGTCCGTAAGTGACTTAATGGGCAAGGCCCGTCTTTAGAAATAACTTGTGGCCAGATCCAAGGAGACATAGGTGCCTCCTAAAGGTGACCCAGATTGCCTAGGTTGTGACCAGGGAGGTAAGTCAGTAGGAAACACTGTGCATAGGGGCATGCTTCAATGTAGCTGCTTCTCCAGATTTAGGCACCTGTCTCAGGGCTGAAGATCCAGACTGCCCAAAGGAAAGGCACCGGCCTCAACCAGGACCCCTAACTAGCATAGCCTTGACTTAACTCTCCATGATCACTTTTTGGGCAGCAGGTGGTATCCACCTGCTGCCCAAAAGCCCAGGAATAAGAGCATTTGCCCTGAAAGCTGGAAAATTTGCTTCTAGGTCTGCTTCACCCTCAGAGGAGTCAAATTCTTATTTCCTACTTTCCAGGGGTGTGTCCTGACCAGCGGGCTAAGGACTAGGCTGGGGGGGCAGTGCTGGGGTGGGAGGTCAGAAGGTGGTTGCCTCCTCTTGATGCCTGCCTTCTGGGCAGCCAAGCTGGCAAGAGCCCAGACGGAGACTGAGTAAGAGTGTGCATGAGATGCTTAACGTGCACCAGACTAATTCCACTGCGCATTAGCCCATCATGGCAAAAACTGCGCTAGTCCGCATTAGAGTGAGTCTACTGTGCATTAAGCGTCACAAATAAGATGGTGTGCCATTGCTACTGTGCATTAGTGCCAGCTGTTGCCCATTTATGTAGTACTGCATATTAGAGGGACTAAACGAAATGCACAATAGCAGCACTGCATTAATGCACGTGTAAACATTCCCTGTGTGACTCTGCAGCCCAGAGAGGAGAGACTCCGTCTGCTAGAACTGTTTCTGCACAGACTATTAAACACCGAAGTGGAGCTACCTGCACAGTTGATTTGTATTTGGTCCTACATCCCACTGACAGCCAGTGAGACTCAACCTTCCAAAATTGCTTTCGAAATTGGGCCTTACCTGCTCAAGCCACTCAGGATCACCTTCCCAAAAGTATTTCAGTTCACAAGGGACAGCTGGACAAACTATATGGAGGCAAAAGTGAAGGGAGAAAGCCACTGCGCTATGCAGTAACTCTTCAGTAAGTCTGCTTTTATTTTGCAGTAAGTGAGACCTAAGCCAGGGCAGAAACTTGTTTCTAGGTATCTCAGACAGGTCGAAAATAGAACAAGTGTGCACGTGGAAGCTGTGTTGCCTTCTCATGTCTTCAAACAGGCTGAAACAAAAGGCCTGAGTGGCCCAGCTTGGCACAGTGGAGGGCGGAACCGAAGCATGTGGGTTATTAATGCATCTGAGCAGAAACAGCCAGCAAGATTCCACACCCCAAAACTGGCTCCCAGACCTGGCTAGCTGGGAGGATTTGGTTTATATACAACTAAGCCACAGAGCGGTTATTCAGAAGTGTACATTATTAATTTTCGCATCTAACAACTGTATTTAAATTGCCATGGAATTGCTAGTCCGCCACTCCACTGTGCAGTCGAATGCTGGCACTTGCGTACAGCCTGCAGATCCAAAGTAGATGATGGCTTGATTCTGAACTTTTCCCTACAGAAGAGCAGGTGTGAGTCAACACTGATGATTCATGTGTTTAATAACAAAACAATACTGACATTTGGTGGGCTCCAGGGTTTATACTGCAGAATCTCAGACCAATGACTTTTCCAACATCTTTTCACTAGTGAACAAACTTTTTATGTTTTTAAAATACAATTCACTGAGCTAACAAATGAGGCGTAAGAATAGAGTCCTTTTTGAGAGTTTTGGAAAGCTCCTTGTTTAAGGCTTGTTTCAGACTGGATTGAATAAGGCCTTTATCTGAAAACCTAGGTGCTTTCATTTATTTATTTTAAATCTACCTGTCCCTTAAGTCCTGGGGTTACTCAAGGAAGGGCTCAGAGCTTTGCTCAGGTGAAAATGTTTCATGCGTTGAAAACTGCTAGGCAATGTTCCTGTTCCATAAAAGAGGTTCTAGACAATTAAAAGCTGTATTTAATGAACAGACTGTTTAATTGCTGTTTACTATGCTCCTGCTCCAAACTACATAAACACACCCTGTGCTCAAGCGTGATGGTGTATCCCATGATTATAAGCACACGTTGGCTCTAGCACCTCACTGAAATGGCAGGGATAGGATGCTGCTGCTACTCAGGGAGCTGCATTTGCTACAGTTGCAAATACCGAGATGAGAGGGCTGTGCTCTAGTCTTAGGTTGGGCTGCCAATGCTGCACCCATTCTCTCCTCACGTTTCCACTTGAATAAAGCCCAAGC